GCATGTGATTGAATTGGTACAGTTGATCGAACCAAAATGATCATGCGATAAGGCTAGGGTGGTTGATCAAGCCCAATAAATGAGTCAATAAGGTTGGATGACCGATTGGACCCAAGGCAATTGGTCAATCGTGACGGAGCGACTGGTCGAACTAAAGTGCTCACATGATCACACATACGATATGCGACATGATCCACAATTGAAAATGCCACAAATAAGCATCCAAGCAATGCAACCCAAAACATTCAAAAACACACAAAACACATTCTAACAACCTTACATAGGTACCTAGAAGTTTAGCTATTAGATTTGCGGCCTAATAGCCTCCGGCTTTGACAGAGAAATATGGAGAACTTCACCCTATGATATTTCTCATAGAAGAAGACTTTCACGATTTGTAGGGTGGACTTGCTATGAATCTTGTTCTGTCTTACAAACCTTCCAAAATCTTGTAGAATTGGCTAGCTACAAAGCTGCTCCAATTCTTCAAGAACAAACTATCCGAACTTTTCTAAGTAAGGTTGTGGACGTCAAAGTCATGGAAAATTTAGGATTCTCGCTCGCTTAGGTATAGATCTAGGACTCACAAGGGGAACTGTCAGACTCGCTATAAATATGTCAAGCAAAGTCTTCCTAACCTACGACTTCCTTTGGGAAATCAACATTCAATACAAAGGCAATGGCCATGTGGACTAGCATCAGCCAACCAACTCGCTTCGTGTCGGTGACCAAACCCACAACACCTAGCAAATCTAGTCATAGGGCTAGATAAGAAAGAAAATGTGGAAGATTTTGTGGATCTCACCACCATAGAGGTTACATACATGTTTCCTCTCGTGGGATGAAGCTCTTCCCGTTCTGTTGACATAGGATAAAGATCTCCTTCCAAAGGAGTAGAGGTTACAGACATGTTTCCTCTCGTGGGATGAAGCTCTTCCTGTTATAGGAGAGAAGCCTACACAAGTCCTTTCTAAAATAAATGAGGAAGCTCTCCTCGCCGGAGAGATCACTTGAGCTCACCAGAGTTCACCTCTGTTGACATAGGATAAAGATCTCCTTCCAAAGGAGGGACCGTGAGCTTGTCGGAGTTGCCCTTCCCCCAAGTTAGGATGAAGCTTTCATAGCCGTACTCTCCGAAAGTTCACCGGAGAAGGACGAGGTCGTCGAAGAAGAGAAAAAATCGTGAAGGAGAAGAAGAAAATGAAGGAGATGGGCTCCCTTGACTCTCTCTTCTTGAGGAAGATGAATGATCCTTCTCTCTTTATCTCTCCTAGGCACCTAAAAAATCTCCAAGTGGAATAAGAATCTCTCCCTTAGCTCTACTTACTAGACCAAAACTTAAAATGAAGTGGAGATTTTTTTTCAAATGTTGGGGGAGAGAAGCTTAAACCAACTCATTGATTAAGATAAAAATGGCTAATGAGGGATACTTAGGGCATGCAAAATGAGGCCAATCCTATGGATTTAACACCCCCATGCATATCTTCTTAAGCCAAAGGGGATCTATATTGTTCTGGCTCGTTTGGGGTGCACCGACGTCAAATCAGTGCTAGAAATAGGCTTATTCGCGATCTGAAAATGAACCGACGCATAGGCATCATGACCCTAACTCCTAGGCGCCCAGGTCGGCGTCAGGCCCCTAGCGCCTACTTTCCGAGGGTTCAAGAAAATGAATGTTTTCAGCGCTTAGGCACCCGGGACTGGCATAAAGGCACCCATTATGGCGCCTAGGCACTATAAAATAGTGCCAAACTTCAATAGGTTCGACTTTAAATGTCTGTGAAGGCATTTTGGGCGCCTAGGAGTGATCTAGCCTCAAAACACTTATTTACATTGAGAGCTCCCCGCCGAAGTATTTTTTTGATCTGCAAGCTATTAGAGGCTCCATATAAGTGAAATGTAGTTCCATATCTTCAAAATTGAGTATTTTGATCAGCCATTTACCGGGAAAATTGTCGTCAATGGTCGCCCTAAGCCATGGCGTTGGTAGGAAATCTTGATCCTAACTTTTTAACAACGCACATAACAGGACTCCATTACTTCCCTTGGTCACGAGAGGCTCCATACGGATGTGCGGTGACTTCTAAACACCATAATGGACACCAAATATGTTCCGTCTCCTGAATGAGCCCCTTCGATTGCGATTTCTCCATGGTAAGGCTAAATCATTGTTAACTTAGTTTTGTGCCCCAAACAAGTGCTAGAGAGTCCATGATGGGTGCCTTAAGTTATGAGATGCTATGGACAATTTGTAAACTATCTCAAGTCGTGTGGTTGGACACCCCACACTCGTGACATCAAAAGTGATGACAATAGGTCGGTCTCAAGCACAAACTATGGTGCCATTACATTGGCTACATTGTCAATTCTATAGAGATTCTTATATAGATTTACCTCAAAGCGATTTTTTTTGTGTCAGGTTAGGGCCAACATCTTATTCTTGATCCGATGTTTCCTAGTTTCAGATACATCTAGAACACATGTACGCATCGAATATTTACCATTATTGGAAGATATGAATATATTTAGACAATATTCTTTGGGTGGTGCAGTTCTAGCATTTCTTTTGAGAGAATTAGATCTGGCTACCATGCCTTCCCGTGCAATAATCGGTGGATGTCTGCATTTGTTACGTGGGCATGGGTGCATTTATATGTTGGTCGACTAACTCTTCATGTTCCAGTTCCTTAGGAAATAACGAGCAAATCCCTCAGGCTAAAGTACAAAATAATTTTTTTTGTTTTATGCTTAAATACACTAATTTTTTAATTACATTAAACTCATTATTATAAATACAATGTATGTAGAATGAAGGGTAGGTACGAGACGTCTTGGTCCAAAATATCATGTCGTATGGAGATGAACTTGATGGACTTAGATAGAGTCAAGCATACTAATCATTTTTTAATTAATCTAATAATCTTGATTTAACTATATATGTTAGCTATATTTAAGTTATAATCTCATCCGCACGACCTCTGGACACGGTATATATATATATATATATATATATTGTTAACATGTATTTTGAAAGCATGAACATTTTTACTGCACGCATTTCGCTAATAAATTGTAAGCGTGTTTGAGTGCCACCTTTCTAGATCGTGTTATGCGTAAGTTTTAAAGCACCCAATCAATAAACATTGAATTCACCAAACAAGGTTTTCAGAAAGTTAATGGGCACTGCAAAACAAAACTTAATTGGGAGCAAGATCATAGTAAATATATTGAGATATGAAATAATTGTTTTGACATTTATTTTGCTAATAAGCCCAACAGAAGGAGACGAGAAGGAATAATTATATCATTATTTGTAGTGGTGCCGGTCTTGGGCTTTGCCTTACTCAGCGAAGTCTCTAACTTAGTCTCTTGAAACATATACACACCGACACCAGGAGAGAGAATAGTGTTTAGCTTTTGCATTCTTTTATAACTACTATTATTTTGTTTATAATACATAATAGTAATATGAAATTACTAATCCTACAGCAGAATTCTCTTATTGATATCGAGAACTTCGCCGAAATATATGAAGGAGATCATGGATCAAGAGCTAGTTACATGAAACAAGATTACAACGAGATTTTAGAGCTATCACACAGAGTGGAAGAATCAATGCACATTAGTTACACGACTTTTGATTAGCCTAGTCGACATGATTTTGAAGCAAGGTTGTCTCATGTCACATATGTCATACCACAAAACCCCGTAAATCAACCTCCGATGCTTCATGTCGGTCATATTCCTTCGAAACGAGGCGATTGACAACAAACACTTAAAGGAGGACTTCTATTAGCAGAACATAAATATATTCATTTCAAGGAGCAAAAAATCAACAATATCCAAAGACATCTACTTATCCTGCCTAGTCAGGATTTGCAGGACACTCCGGTTATATAGAACCTTCCAGATATGCAATACCATTATCATTTGAGGTTCCATCATTTGACCTGCAGCGGACAACTGCTAGTGGGGGAGACTTCGATTGAAATTGTCAAAACATTTCCACGTGTACGTCTATTTCTGACATAGGCATGAATTTAAGTACACCAAAATTATATTCTCCGCCAAATTTTAATGACAAATTATTAGATGTCACGAAATGCAACAAATGACACATTTGAGAGCGATTATATTGAAAAGAGCTTCAAGAACATCATTTTATCGACTAACTCGACCACCGTCTCGATATACACATCACTCAGGCGCTATCCCACCCTGACTTAGAAGATAATATATATTATTTAAAATGTTATGTTAGTTGATTCAATTTGTTCAATTTGTTGAATTAATTTAATTTGTTTCATTTTGGAAATACTTCAATTTGAAAAAAAATTTACCAATTTCGAATTTTCTTAATTCATTTAGCTACTTCAAATATATATTTTTTATTTAATTAACTATTAATTATAATTTATTAATTAATGTAGAAACTAATTTTAATATTTCTTTGTTTATACAATAAATAATAATAATATTTATAATATTATTTAATAAAATTGGCACCCATAAAAAATTTATATACCGATTATTTATAATATTATTTAATAATAATAATAATATATAATTAAAGAAATATGGAGGCATCTACTTGTGCGACTGCCATTTTTTTAAAACATAAATTTGGGTGCTTCAATTACTAGTTTGATTTATTAAGATGATTCTTTATATAATTTAATATTTTTTTTTGAAATAAAGGTAAAATATTATTCTAACGTAAAGTTATATTAGAAGTCCATTAATATACAAATACGTGGAGGTGATTAAAAAAAATCATTTTAATTTAGGAGAATGTTCATGTTATCTCACATTATTTAAATATTATTATGATATTAGAAGTCCATTAATATATAAATACGTGGAGGTGATTAAAAAAAAATCATTTTAACTTAGGAGAATGCTCATGTTATCTCACATTATTTAAATATTATTATGATGGTAGAATGTTATATAAATATCACTACCTTAATAATGTGAAATAAAAAAGTAAAAATATTTTAGGTGTTATTGGGCCGAATCATATGAGATTTTTCCATTTTTTTTGGCCGGTAAAGTATCCTCCCGCTCAGCTCCTCTCTTCCTTTTCCAGCGCCGCCAACTCTGGCTGCGTGCAGTTCTTGGTTCTTAACTCCTACTCCGCTCGTTCTTGGTTCTTGGCATTCGATCTGAATTAAAGCGGAGCATAACTTCGACTCCTACATCCATATTTCTCAGCCATGAGAAGTCTCCGCCCAATATTCAGTCTACCTCTTCGAGTATTTGGCGAACTTCAATGCATTATGTTTTTCTCTGCTCCTCCTAATCGATCAGTTTTCTAACTCGTTTCGCCTATTCTTACTTTGCAGAGGTCCGCTCACTTGGCGGTAAATTACATCAGAGAAGGTCCGCGGAGTTTTTCCCTGTTCTTTAATTTTTGATGATTTTCAGCCGCGGGGTTCTTTGCGGTTAACATGGAAGAAATTGTTACGTTGACATGACAAATGCAGTTATCGGAGTTGAAACATCCCGCCGGTGGTTTGGTGATCACACGGGCTCAAGAAACCCCGCGGAACTCGCGCATGAGATTGAAAAAATCAGAATCGACTTCGAGGATGTCCAACTGTCCATCCTCGACATCCCGCCGGCGCTAAGAAGTATGCCTGCGATGAAACCTGAAGGTCACTTTCAGTTTCTTCACGCTTGTTTGAATCTTGCGTTTGCTCTTCAAGGAGACATCTATTTGTCGTAATTGTATTTCTCCGATTGAAAATGCTTGTACTGCTTCGATTCTTTCGTTTTAATGTTTAGAAAGAAAAGTCCAAGCAACCAAAAACATGCCTAGCGGAGTCGCGTAGGCTAAATATTTTGAATCAAGGGCGAGGCAGCCTCAGCTTAAAATAGCCCTAATCTATTCTTTGTTTTGCTGTTGGTGTTGTTGTTTAAATTTAGATATCTACGTGAATAAGAATCTTAGGCTGGATAGCATCCAAGTGTATGGTTTCGATTACGACTATACACTGGCTCATTACTCCAAGAATCTGCAAAGCTTGACATATGATCTTGCCAAGGAGTTTCTTGTCAGCGAGGTTAGACATCAGCATTCGTATTTTTTTTAAATTTCTCTTAAATTCTTACTCGTCACTCTTCTTATATTCATTTGCTATGGCAGCTAAAGTATCCCAAGAGCTGCTTGCAATTTGAATATGATCCATATTTTCCCGTCAGAGGCCTTTACTTTGACAGGCGGAATGGCTGCCTTATGAAGCTGGACTTTTTTGGGTCAATAGAGCCTGATAGTTGCTTCCTTGGACGTCAGAAGGTAGAAATTGTCAAATGTGAGGCATTGGTTATTTTTCAGCATATTGCTTGTTGTCTCTTTATATTTGTTCTTACTAATATATACGTGGTCTATTTTATGTTTTTTTTTTAATATATTTGAAATCTGTGTTTCTACTTTATACGATTGCTTTTTTATAGCTAGACTTTAAAATAATATTGGCATATCCATATTTACACGCAAAGGGTAAAATTAACGACAATGGTAGCTTGTGTTGTCATGGTAAAGGTGATAGAAAATCTGGTTAGAATCATCTGTAATTTTTTGACTTGTAGATTAGGCTCTGTTCATGCTTCCTTTAACTAAGGTTTGAAAAATCTTGTATTTATTGTACTTTATAGCTCTAATATCTACGAAATAACTTCATTCTCTTACATTGGTCAAATAGCTTAGCAGAGAAGAAATTATAAAGACATATGGTTCAAGACATATTGGCCGAGAACAAGCACGGGAGTTGATAAGCTTGATGGATTTCTTTTGCTTTAGTGAGGTAAGCTTGATATTCTCTTGTTACTTTATTTTTTTGTGTTATGATTAATGCCTTGTGCATTTTTTAGTTTTTCTTAAGAAAAGGTTATCAACCTGCAGCTCTTTGTTTTATTATTTTATTGTTTCTAACATGCAATTCAAGTTGCCTTTTTAATAACTTAAAGGCATAGTTTGTTGTCAGTATGACAATGCATTTTCCCTGCATTGTATTTTGTTCATTTTAGATCCGTAGTTTAAATCTTGTCATTTTTTAGTTTTTATCTTTTACCACGCTATTATCTTCACATATCAAATGTCAGGGTTTTTGAATATGCTAGTTATTTTTCTCTTTGGGGTTTATTCTTGTACGTGGGACTTGTTGAAATCTTACTCAGTTTTTTTTCTTTGAATTTTTAAATTTTAATATTTATTTTTTACACAATGGATGTTATCACTGTGCAATATTGCGAGAAAGGGAATTATAACTACCATTTAGGTATCTCTTGAATCGTATTAGAAAGTAGCAATGGCAATTTTGTTCTAAAAAAAAAAAAAAAAGTCAAAATGCTTGAAATTAAATTTTATTAAATTACAAATTGGTAAGTTATATTGATTTGAATGATGGGCTATAAAAACCATTAATATATAAGCTGGGTCCAATAGAAATGGGAATATTTAAGTTTAATGAGTGTCGAAACTAGGAAGGATAAATCACTTGATGTAAGTTAACAAAAAAAGTAGGTTGCCCAACATGACCTTTTGCTTTCTTTAACACTTGCAAGAGGTACAATATTTTATCTCCTTCAATGGAGGATAGTCAATGATATTAAGGCAATTAGACTTTTGTTAAATTTTATGTTTGATGTGAGTTTTGGTCTCTCGAAACTAGTTGGATTGTGTTTGTCAAACTTTATGGCATGCATATTTACATATTTGCCTTGTTGAATTTTTTTGGCTATCATAAGCCCATGCGGAGCCAAATTTGAACAACACAATCCCTCATTGAAAAGAATAAGTAGTTTTATTTATTTATTTATTTTTTTGTAGAAATTATTAGTTGAAAGTTCCGAGATGACACACAACTCCACCTTATTTGTTTCCTTATTGTAGGGCTGGCGTTATACTCTTCAATGAATTCTAGGCAACAACAACGATTCAATTAGATAGTCAACATGAAACTAACTAGGGTCATACCCCGAAATCCATATCGGGAATGCACATTTAGTTGATAAACATATTACTGACAATTGTCAAAGATTGACATACTGAAGCTAAGTACCATGGTTCAGCCGTCATCTCATTTTTATTTTTGCTTGAGGATGCGAATGAACCGAGCGTTCGACAAACTAATCGTGGCTCATTTTGATTAGAGCTTGTTTATGTTTGTTTAGGAACAAACTTGAATACTTTTTAAAATACTAGATTGTTAACTGACTAAGTTTGAATATATTGTTGCTCGACTTAATAGTACTCGTGAGTAAGATTGCTGAAAGAGCATGAACTAGTTCTATAAGACGCTTGATTAAAGCTAGATATTGATTTTAAATTTAAAATAAATTATAACTAAAATCATAATTTAATTAAAATAAAATTAGGTTGAATTAAATATTAAATTATTATTTCTATATTATTAACTAAACATAATTAAATAACTAATTAAAAACAAATTAAAAAAAATAATTTCATGGTTTAAAGGGAAGCTTCACATTAAGTATTATTTAATGAAATTGCAAGTTTTATGTGAAGTTCACACTAATTATAAAAAAATATTAAAAAAGATAAAAAAAATAGTCGCAAAAAAATTAATAAATCAATCTACACATTTAGACTAATTATAATTTTATCTTCTATTTTTTATTTTATACTTTGTTTTGCTCAAATATCACAAAAGATATATTTTTTTAATAAAAATATACATTAGGATTAAACAAAATTAAAATTAAAATTAAAATAATAAATAATAATATAATGACATTAAAACTTAAAAAGGGTAGTACAGATTATGGGTGAGGGGTTTTTCAATTAAAAAGGAAGGTTTACATACATATCACATATTGTTTATGTATTTACATATGTAACACCTAAATTTTAATTTTTTATATACATTACCACCTTATATGAAACAGTGCATTTCACTTTTTAAAAGTTATAATGGTGATATGAAAGATTTGGGTGGTATAAATGTAAAAAAATAAACTATATATGTTACATATGTAAATACATACGAACTGGGTGATATGTATATAATTGTTACTAAAAAATGGAATAGAGGTCTCATCAGCCATTTATTGCAAAAACATTTAGTTCTACATTGGAATGAGATTTAGTATTATGGTTGTTTAAATGAAAAGACATTGTGAACTTAAACTTGCATTTTTAGTAATTCATGGAAATGCAATTGTGCAGATCTATTATTAAAAGTATTACAACGACAACCTTTTATCCCACTAAGTGGGGATGACAATATGAATGATTTTTCTCCATTGTGTCCTATTGAGTGTCATATTTTTATTTAATTCTAATAAATTAAGAGTATTTTTTATACAACATGCCCATGTCTTTTTAGATCTACATCTACCTTAGCATAAGTTATGTTGAGATTTGTAACGGAGCAACATTATATTATTGATAGAAGGACCCAATTAAATAGACACTACAATGGAAATAAACGAAACAAAATAAAACAAATAGAATTTACATAATGAGAGAATAAAAGCTAATAATAAGTAATAATGATTAGGGATTGTTGTTATAATCTAATAGTCCCCCTAAATTTGAAGCATAGATGTCAGTCATGTTTAACTTGAATTTGAAATCATCGAACAAAGGAGGAAAAAAATTCTTGGTGACGATATCTGCTAGTTGACAATTGAAGGGCACAAAAGGAATACTAATTTCCCCGGACTCAATCATTTCCTTAATGAAGTGTTTGCCAATCTTCACATGTTTGGTTTGATTATGCTAGGCTGGATTGTGAGCAATGCTGATGACGACCTTATTATCACAAAATAATTGTAACGAGATGAAGTTTGACATACGAAGTTCATAGAGCATGATGCATAACCAAAGAGCTTCATAGATCTCCAAGGACATGGACTGAAATTCAGCTTCAACACTGCTCTGAACAACCACATGCTGTTTTTTGCTTTTCTATATGACAAGATTTTCTCATACAAATGAGGAATACCCTGATGTGAAATGTTGATTATGAATGATCCATCCAATTAGCATATGTATAAACAACAATAGACCGAGAGATGTGACGAGAGAAAATAAATCTGAGCTCGATGTATCTTTTAAATAGTGGAGAATCCAATGGACATTTTGGAGATGATGCTCATAGGGGACATGCATGAATTGACTCACTATATCAATTGTATGATATATGTCAGGGCGAGTATGGGCGAGGTATATGAGCTTTCCCACAAGGTGTTAGTATTGAGTCTTATTGATAGACACAACATTGAGAGTGCCATATAATTTTTTCATTGGGATTTATAGGGACAACCATAGGTTTGCACAAAAAGAATGTTGTTCTTTGTCAAAAAATCAACCACCTATTTGCGTTGAGACAAACAAATGTCCCGAGATGACCGGGCCACTTCTATGCATAAGAAATGCCGGAGAGAACCCAAATCCTTCATTTCAAAGGACGTATCAAAAAAGTATTTCAAGGATTCTAATACTTGGAGATAGTTACCTGTAAGAATAATATCATCAATATATATAATAAGGATATCTACCTAAACATTGGAGGAATGCCAAAAAAAGAAAGTGTGATCCATTGAGGCTGAGTAAAAGCACGACACACGACAATCTTTGTGAATTTGTCGAACCAGACCCTTGAGGATTGTTTTAGCCCACAGAGGGACTTTCGTAGCCTCCAAACTTGCCCTTTGGAGACAGTAGAGTCAAGATGAGGAGGGAGAGACATATACACCTCTTCTGTAAGATCTCAATTAAAGAACACATTCTTGACATCTAGCTGAAATAAATTTCAATCTAGATTCACTGCAGGGGACAATATGATCCAAATAGTGTTTAACTTAGTAACTCGACAATGCTGAGAGTATCTTTTTTAGAGCACGGATAGTAAGTGGAGAAAGCTTGCGAGCATCCAATCATGTGATCTGTGACACTTGAATCAATAATCCATGGATAAGAGGAGGAATAAATTGTGAGTTTTAATAAGAATACCTTGTTGGAGGTGAGAGGTTGACGAACCCACAAGAAATTGATTGGCTCCAAGTAGCTTGGTTAATGACTCAATCTAGTTTTTTAGGGTTCAGAGGATTCCAGGATTTTTCGGGTATGAGTCGGTTGAATCGTGGTAGACTCAGATGTTGTCGTGAAACCTTGAATGTTAGTAGCTGGTTTACTGTGAAGTTTCCAACACTCATCCCGAGTGTGGTTGGGTTTGTGACAGTAATCACAAGTGGGGTGATTGGTTCGAGGTGGCATGAATGAGGGCTCAATACTATTTTAGATTAAGGTGGACGATTCAGTTGAAGGAGTAGAAGTGTTGAGCTTGACAAGTCATCGACTTTCTTCCTGACGAATCTCGGTGAAAGCAATACAAGCGGAAGGAAGGGGGTCCCGACCAAGAATACAACCCTGAACTTTGTCAAGGTCTTTGTTAACGCTAGCTAGGAATTGGTACTTGCGATCATTTTCTACAATTTTCTTGAAGAGTGAGATCTGTCAGAGTCTCCCAAGTATAGCCATAGTACATGTCATATTCCATCTATAGCAAAACAATGTCATTAGAGTACTTGGTCACGGTCCTTGACCACTGTTTTGCCTCTCAGATTTTCTTAGACACCACATAGAGTTGGCTGGAGTTTCCTACATTCAATTATATATCACGGACAACCATCCAGAGGGCATGAGTTTAAGGGAGGAACATATATGAACGACCAATCGAAGTCTCCATGGAGTTGATCATCTACAACTTGAACATGAAGCTCTCCACTTCCTAAGGTCATATGCCTGGTCAGTTTTTGCATGTTCACAAATTATAGC